AAACCTCACTGTATTCGAATACTTTCCAGTATTCGAATTCTTCTTCAAAGATATCCGAATACTTTTCTTCACAGAAAAGTATTCCAATACTCCTGCAAGGAGTATTCGACTACCAATTTAAAACTTCAATTGCAACTCTTTACAAAATACTCTAAGATTTTAATATGTTAAATTAGACATCTCAAGCTTTCCAACGACATATTTTATGTCTCAAACAACTCCGGTTATGATTTTTGCAAAGTTCCTACAACAACTGAATTTCTAGCAATAGGGTTGCGACTTCAAACATAAACTGAGAGCAATCCACTTATCCAATGGATCTGAAAATTTACAGAGTTGTAGCCCTATGTGTTAGCTTCACATAGGTCCAAACCTAACTCAATTTAGAGCTCTGTAGCTCAAGATATCAAAATTTTACTAAACTAGGTCGCTGTTGTCTCGCGAAGTATTCGATTACTGTATTTTTCCAGGAAGTATTCGAATACTTCCTGAAAAGTGTTCGAATACTTCTTCGACAGAATGCAGAAAACTGAGTTTTAAAGGTATGATTGACCTCCAATGATCCAAACTCGATCTAGAGTCCAAGAACTCCTTAAACAGATGTTTACTAACATGATTAGGACTCATAAACACATTCCTTTATTCAATTGATCAAAGTTTTACTTTTTAACCGATTAAACAAGCTTAAAATCATCAAAAGACAAAGAGGTGTTCATGGTATACCTCTAAGCTCCAAAAATCTAAAAATGAGACACCATAAGGGTCCTCAACACAGCACCAAAGTTCAGACTTAGGCAAGACACGAATTTGACCACCAAGCTTGGTCCTTTAAGCCAAAAGATCACTTCTTGGCACCACAAAAGTCATGAACAAAGCCTCCACTAAGGTAGTTCACAAACTCAGCCCCAAGTAACACAACTCATAAGCTAAACTCAGCAAGAAGGTGTCTTTCTTCCCCACAATGTATACTATAAAGTGCACACAAGATGGAAGAGGAAGAATCAAAAGAAAATGCTAAGACTTGGTTGGTTTCAAGGGAGAAACTCAAGTTTGAAAGGGAACAAGCAATGGAACAGTACCAAGGCTGATCAGCCTCCAAAGGTCACGTAGGAATAGAAATTTCCTAGGGTTTTGAGCCCAAAAGTTGTATTTATAGACACTTAAGCTTTAAACACACAGTATTAACAATAATAGTTACTCTAAGAATTTTAATCCCAAACTTAGGATTCGAACCTACTCAATTTTACAAGATTTATCATATTTTTATATTAATTTTTGCAGTACATTTCCGGTACACGCTTTTACGTAGCCAGTATCAGTTCTGGCACCAGTTCTCATTATTTTAACTTAAAACTTGAAATCACAGTCCTACATATTATTCTAGGAATATTCATACACTTATTATAATTTTCCGGGATACTTCATCGGTATGCATTTATACCGAGTAGCAGAACCGATATCTGCACTTTTCGTCAGAAAAGTGATTTTCAGCAATATTACTCACTTATGAAATTATTTCCTAATTTCTCTTAAGCAATTAATTAACTTCCATAATTAACGGTGCAGGTTCTTACAGGGAACGTCTTTAAAAGAACATCTAAGCAACCAACAAGTTCACACCCAACAGGCATGATGATATGTTTTTGTGCTAACAATTTGTTTTCTTTGTTTCCCTTTAATAGTGGAAAAGTTTGATGTTGTAGACTTGTGGTAGATGTTAAATGTTTAAGGACATGACAAATGTTATATGTTTGTTGGACAATAGTGTGTGATTTATTATTTTTCATATTGGAATATTTTGAACTGATATCATTTTTTACTTGTATTTGAGTATGTTTGTAGATATTTTAGCATAAAATATAGATTTGCATATGCTTACCAGGTCAACCGGTGATTTACGATTTGAACTAATGACCCGATAACTCAATACCCCAGCCGGGTCAATGACCGAGTGTGTCTAATAACATTGCAAGAAATCCCTCGGACAAGCGTCAAGAGTGAGGACACATTCAGTGAGTTGCTCCAACTTCTAATTCAGATCTGAATGTGTGGATTGAACCTCTTGTTGAAGTTCAGAGCGTAATTCATCCATTACTTCCTAAATCCTCATGGTGGAGTTGCAATCGAAATAAAAACACCAATTGATACGTTTGTATAAGAGGAAGGAGAAGAAAAGTAGAGGAGAGAGAAAACTATGAAATTGCACATGTGTCCTATTCTATCTTGTTACAATAGCTCACAACCAATAACTCTTAATTAACTATTGCATTTGACGTGACATTCTTTCTCAGGAACTTACATAGTCAGCAATCCATGTAGGAGGACGTCTGCTTGTTACGAGTTTGCCTGCACCACTTGAATTGCACCACTTGAAGACACAACACTTTGAGTCTTACTTATTTTGATGATCTTTATTTTCTAGTATATTTTTAGTGATTTCGTAATAGAGATTTTTTTTTAACTAAAGTAAATAAACATGTAATTCATATGTCATTAACCATAAAAGAAGGAATAAGATAAATGGCTTAAGGTAAGTAAATTTTTTCATTTCTAATAAATGATGTACCAAGTATTTAGTATTACGGGAGAATTATCAAGCACATAAATCAATTAGTATGGAATTATTCCAACTTTTTTATACAAGAAATTAAAACAGCGAAACAAAAATTGCAAAAAAGAGATAAACAAAAAAGATATAGTTCTATCCCATTCCTCTCCTAGGATGACAAATGCCCGCAACGTCCGCCTAAAGCATCAACCTTAAAGGAGTAGGAGGAACCACAAAGATAGAGTCATCTGACAAAAAAGAATTCAGAATAAGGAGATTAACTAAACAATCAGCACAACTGTTGGCTTCTCTAAAAGCATATGTAACCGAGACCTGCCAATTACGATCTAAAAGTGCCCGTATACGGGTTAACAAACGAGACTCACAAGTTGCACCTCCACGATTGGTGAGCAAAGCGACCACTGAGGTAGAATCGCTCTCAAGGATTAGACGACGCCAACCTCCGTGCCAAGCAATATTAAGACCATGCCAAACTCCGCATAACTCAGCTGTAAAAGAGAACATATAAGCCAAGTAACCAATTCCCTTGATAATTACGGAATAAACCACCACAAGTAGCAATACAAAGAATTCCCTCAGCAGCACCATCTGTGTTAAGTTTAACATACACAAAGGAAGGAAAATCCTAGCGTATTAAAGAGACCACTGGATGGGAAATGGAAGAGGAAAAAAAAACCCCAACACCTCAGCAATAGTGCGCTTAATGACACCAGCAGAATGAGGCGACGAATGAGCCATCAACTGTGAATGAGCAACATCATTTCTTCAACACCAAACTTGAAAAATAAAAGTAGCAAAAATAGATGACCAATTATGGATATCTAGCTTTTCTGTAAACCAATAATCACGTAGCCAAGAACCGAGATTGCCGATGAAAAAGTCATCCTGGTGAATCAAAGGAATGAATTCACACCATAATTCACGGACAACTTCACAGTCCTGAAAAACATAGATAATAGACTCATCCTCAATCCTATAGATCGGGCAAAGACTTTCCCTATTAGACCACGAGGTAATCAATAATTTAGTAGGTAACCTCCCAAGAGCTAACTTTCAAAGTAGAATTTTCATTCGATGAGGACCAGGCCACTTTCAAATCTTACGCCAGCACCAATCCTCTCATCCATCATCCTAACCATTCTGCTCCAAATCACTAAGAAAATTGTACAACCCTTGACCGAAACTGATTCACCAGAACCCAAAAACCATATTTTACGGTCTGGAGGGTCATTAGCCGAATGGGGAAGGATACTCCTGATATAGTGAATTACATTATTAAGAAGCCAAGACGTAAGCATCTCAAACTGCCAATTACCAGAATCTGAAACAACCTCATGAATCTCCAAGCCTAACCTCATGAAATAACCAACTACTATTCCAAAATGAAGTTTTGTTGCCATCTCCCACCTTCCAGTAAGCATGAAAATGAACCTTGGCCCAAACATGGCATAAATGAGACCACAACCGAGAACAACAGAAGAAGCAATGAATGTAAGAGTATCATTAGTACTATAGAAGGCACGCAAGATGCTCTCCCCACAATGAGTCCTCCTCAGAGTAAAGCCTCCATAATAGTTTACCCAAGAATGTTTCATTCATTACCACCATATTCTTAAGACCCAGACCACCTTTACCTTTAGGACGTTGGAGAATATCCCATCTTAAGAGATAAGCAGTTCTGTGATCAGGTGTCTTCCCAAATAAAATTTTGAATAATTTTCTCAATTTCCTTACAAACACCAACAGGTAACATACCATGTTGCATGTGAAAGTAAAGAGCCAAAGAAAGAACAGATTTAGCCAAGGTGATACGCCCAAGCTTGAAAGAGAGAAAGTTGCTGCCAACTGCCTAACTTAGAGGTGAGTTTATCAATGATATGAATTATTCCAACTTAATCAATGGTCTCGAGTTGCACAATTCAACTGGATTAATTGAATAATCGATAAACCAATAAAGAAATCTCAAAATAATACTATGGGATTATTGAAAAAAACATTCTTCCTTTTAAAAAATTGATTTTATTAAAGAAATAATATTTGTCCTTTTAAAAGATAACTATTTTAGTTAAAAATAACGTGTTTTATTTAATATTTAAATTATAAAAAAAACCTTTCACTTTCTCCTCTATAATTACAATTATATAATTGTTTCTTTTACTATAAAATACAATAAATTTTACTAAAATAACACAATCTTATATAAAGAACAAACACTAATCCCTTTTAGGAAAAGATAAAATAATTGTTTTCGAATCTAAAAACACTAAATCCATATACTTTGGGTTTATTATTGTTTTGTTTCATATTGACTCTAAGATGTTAATTGGCCAACGTTTTATTCTAGGCCCAAGAGATATACTTGGTTTTCTCGAGGGGCGAAGTCGTCATTCCACTTGTAACATTCCCCACATAGAAACCCTAATTAGTACTCAAGTAAGTAGCCTCAGCGTGCAGAGTATAAAATGCAGAAACCCTAAATTCCCAAATTCCAAATCGGCTAAGTGTAAGAGCTTCGGCGGCAATCTCGATCCTCTTCCTCTCACAAATCACCTCCTCTGCGAAAAACAAAAAAAATGGTACTATTTCCATGTTTCATTCTCTGCGATTTGGGTATATGGGCATTCTTCAAAAGATGCATTTTATTTTAGCCATTTTAAATGATGATTTTTTGGTCACTGTATTTGGAATCACCTTATATGGTTTTTGATTTGTTTGGTTTTTCTGTGTGTTCGCAGTCTTTGGTGGCTAACGAGGAATTCCAGCACATCTTGCGTGTGCTAAACACCAACGTTGATGGGAAGCAAAACATCATGTTCGCTCTTACCTCAATCAAGGGTATTGGTAGGCGATTCGCTAACATCGTGTGCAAAAAAGCCGATGTCGACATGAACAAGAGGTTCGGTTTTATGGAACCTCTCTGTTTTTTTTTTGTCTGTCAGTTAGTTAGTTATGAGCTTTTATTTTTCTAAATTTTATGTTTTTATTGGAATGTTTGCTTCTTCTTTTTTAATTTCATGATTTTTATTGAAATGGGTTTTGGTTGTTTTGTTTTCAGAGCTGGTGAATTGAGTGCTGCTGAGTTGGATAATCTTATGACTGTGGTTGCCAACCCTAGGCAATTCAAGATCCCAGATTGGTTTTTGAATAGGAAGAAGGACTACAAGGATGGGAAGTATTCTCAGGTGGTGTCAAATGCACTGGATATGAAGTTGAGGGATGATTTGGAGCGATTGAAGAAAATCAGGTGATTCATTTTGGGTATCTTGATGTTGAAATTTTATTAAAACTTGGGTTGATAAGATTTTTCTATTAGGAGCAACTTCTATTTCTATGTAGGGTTGAGAATTATGTTTTTTTGTTACAAAATCATGTACATTTTGTTCAAAAGAAACCTGTTTTGACAGAGCCTAATTGACAACTAGAGATCTACCCCCAAAATATACATTGCATATGCAGAGCAGCTCAAGAATCCTCTGATTGATATGTGTAACATATGATATGTCATGTGTGGTGAATCATATTGAAAGAGTTATCTTTGTCGGTTTTGATTTGGATTTTATGTTGTCACTTGTCTCCTTGTTCTTCTCCTGTTGTGATGATTTAATTGTAACCTGACTGCATGCAATATTGTCAGAGCCTGACACGGAAGTTTATTCTTTGAAGAAAGTATTTAGTTTGCTGGATTTTTACTGAATATTAGCAATAACATCTATTTCAAGTTGTTCTGTCAACCATATTGTTCCAAGAACTCGGTGTAATTATTGTATATATAAATAGTGATCTTGGATGATAGTCTCTAAAAATCTAGGAAGACCCTGTTGCACTTGATAGGTTATTAATGTTATGATATGGGATGGTGTATGTTGATGTAAAATCAGCCTTATATTTTCACTTACCCAACTGTGTAAAAACCTACATAATACTCTAGGTTTTCTTCTTCTGAGAAATAACTTATGCATTGATTAATAACCTATAAAGTGAGGATACACCATATTGGTGGTGTGTGCCCCTGTCTATGACTCACTAACATGTGTCCAGTACTCCAGTTTACATTTTTTTGTTTTGCTCGGACATGGCATAGACAGCGATTCAAAATATGAAACTTTTTGTTTTTGGATTGTACTTGTAGTTGTACATCACTAGTTCTACTATAACAAGTTTGTTTAGGAAACTTTTTGGAAGATATCTGAGACATGATTGTGTTTGTTTCCTACAATTTTAGAATTTGGTGTCTCTCTCTGTCATGTTGAGTATCTGCTTCGGTGTACGTGCTTCATTGGTAATAACACTTCAATCTCACATTATTGCTGTTTATGCAGAAACCACCGTGGTTTGAGGCACTACTGGGGTCTTCGTGTTCGTGGCCAGCATACTAAAACTACTGGTCGCAGGGGGAAAACTGTTGGTGTCTCTAAGAAGCGTTAAGCTTTTATCTTTTTGCTTGGAGAATATATGTTGTTGGGGAAGAAAAATTTGAATTACGAAAGGCAAGTTTTGCCATTATTTGTTTTGGTTGTTTAGTACTTTCAAGATTTCATATTTTTGTTATTTGCTTTACTTTGTGATCAGTCGCATGCTGGAATTCTGAGTTGTAGAGACTTTACGTAGGATTGTTGAAATTACGTATGCACCTTGTTTAGAAAAGGAAAAATGCTACTTTCACAAAGCAATGGGTGTGATGTTGATAATTTCTTGATATATCTGTAATGGTGTTAATGCATACCTCTTTTCTGCATTCACAAAGCATGGGTTTGAAAATGACGTAGGAGACTTTAGCCTACACAGAGTATTTGTGATAGATGGATAAAAGCACTCAAGTAATTTATTCCCAATGTGTTGCCTATCCTCAAGGGTTGCTAATATATGAAATTAATTAAATGTCGAATTGAATTAAACAATTATTATATTAAATTTATTAAGGATGCACTTACAATTCATTCGTTGTGTGGCTTAAGTTGATTTGTAATTAATCAATAAAAAAAGTGCTTAAAACATGTCAAAATTGTGTTGTGTCCACTTCTGGCATAATGGATTTGGGAAAATAATGTAAATTAAAGTTGGAAAAATAAAATGAATTATAATGGATTTGGGGAAATAATATGAATTATCGTGTCACTCTGAAGTTTTAGTACTTTTGACACAATTCGTCACGAGTTAACTAGCGTATTTTTTTATTTTATTTTTGAAACAGAAAAAAGATAGCAAATATAATAGATAACAAAAGAGTTCAAATATATAAAACTCTAACTTATTATCAAATTAAAAAATTCAAGATTTTAATAATAATTCATTTATCTAATAAATAAAGGGTGTTCATTTTCTTCTGTTGCAGATGAAATTAACACTTTTCTACATACCCATCGAATCTGGAGATTTCTTATTTTTATTTTTTTTGACTTTTTTAACTTGTGGACCTTACAATATTTTGTGAGTGCGGGAATGAGATTTTGTTTTTCCTGTAAAAGGAGAAAAAAATATCCCATAAATAAATCTTACAACATAAAATTATGTTATATAGACAAGTGTATGGTTATGTTAGAGAGTTTTACGTACAAAAATGTAAAATTCATATATATATATATATATGGGCATTGTTTTTCTTCTGTCCCCGGAGATCATCGATTTTTCCTGTAGATAGAAACAAGTTGGGTCCCATCAGCTTTTTTTAAAATTTATATATATATATATATATATATATATATATATATATATATATATATATATAATTGGGCACGTTTTATGAACTTGAGTGTGACAGGAGATAATTAAATTAATTTTGCATATATATATATATATATATATATATATATATATATATATATATATATAGGGTTTTATTACTTTCTTTTCACATAAGATAATTATCTTATGTTGTAGAAAGAAAATGAGTAGATTCCACCATTGCATAAAAAAAGAAAAAAGTGAGGTGCTAAAATCGAGGTAAGATAACATAAGAAAAATTATCTTATGTGAAAGGAGAATAACATTTTCCATATATTAAAAATAAAATAAAATATTTAAATCATTATTAAATTTAATGAAAATATCAAATTATAAGGATAATTTAACAAATAAATTTTATTAATTATATAAAAAATAATATAAATAAAATAAAATGAAATGGAAAAGAGAAGTTAATGTAAATTCTGATAATAGAAAATAAAAATGCAAAAGATAAGATAAGAAACATGTGAATAAAAATGTGGGATATGTTATGTCTGAATATGTTTTTAGAATGTGAAACTGAAAAGTGGATCCCTTTGGTTTCTTTTCAACAAATAGATTATTTTTATTCTCTCTCCTCAATGGTTGAAGTACACTTGCACTTGGAGAACAAGCATGAGTCCTTTCTCTCTTTGAAAAGGTAGGATCAAATTATCCCACCGATTTTACGTTTTTCATCATCGATTCCACAAGATTTGAACAGATTGCGATCTTATAAGAGATCTAGATCGCTATAAGATCTAGGATCAACCAATCCTGTGATGTTCCAAGCGATTTTAACATCAATGCAACAATGTTTGTGTTTATTTATGAAAATAAAGGAGATATTAGAATTGTTTTAGTTATCAAAGCATCAAACTTATGAATCATGCTATGAAGTCGTGGGAGATAATTGTTAAACATCCTTGAGAATAGAGACCAAGGTATCTATAAATCAATATAGATTTATGTCCATAAGATGTATCATGAAGGCTATTTTCTTGATATTATGGTTGATGGAAAGATATTTGTAACACCCTCATTTGTATGCATCCAAGAGAATTGTTTGCTAAGCGGAATTAGAGTCCGTTCGTCATATTTTAAGAACTGAAAAACCATTTTGATGTTGCTAATTAAAACTTGTAATTGAAATCAGTTTCCTTCCAAAATCAGAGTGTACTTTCAAAATTTCTTAACTTGCTGAAAATATTAATTTATTTGGCATACGTTGCTGTCTTGTAAAATTCGTATCAAATCAAATTCAACGATTCAAAAAAAATTCCAAATAATCTAGAAAGAGCGCGTCTGGGGCTTCGCGTGCATATAAAATAATAGTAATTCTGAGTTCGTTTGCCCCTCGAAACATAACTCGCAAAGTGCTCGCGAAACTGTTTAAAATCAGCACTTAATAAAACGTCAGAAATTATTTTCGCAAAACGTTTCTAGAATTTGTTTCCAAAATACTTGCTGATAATAAAAGTCTTAATACAGCAATAAAATCATAATCCAACAATAATCCAAACTTCTCAATTTAATACAGTTATCCATCAAATAAATAGCAACAGCAAAGTCCAAACAACAAAACATAACAACAAATATCCATATAATCAAGTCTTCATATGTTCTTCCGTCCTCCTGCCATTTTGTAAAAATAGCAACCCCAAAGGGGTGAGAAAAATTCCAATAGTGTGATAACAAAACCAATAATGCAACAATACTAACTAGATACAGAATTACAAAGCAGTCGCATCATCAAGTTAAACATTCAGGATGTGTTGATGTTTGCGCTCAACCACAGAATTTTGTTGTGGTCTCTCAACACATGAGTGAAAAATAGTGATACCTTTAGAAGTAAAAAAAGGAATGTTAAATTCTGGTGCATTATCGCAACGGATAGATTTAATTGAGAATTGAAATTGGTTGAGAATGAGAGTGTAAAAAATTACTGAAGGCAGAAGAAAATTCCGATTTATGTTTGAGAAAAGCAACCCATGTGTAACGTGTGTGATCATCAACCAGGGTCAGAAAATAACGAAAGCCATCAATTGGGGGTAAAGGGTCCTCAAATGTCTCAGTGAACGAGATCAAATGGTTTAGGAGACAATTTGGGATTGAATAAAAATGGTAAGCGTTTCTGCTTAGGCAAGGGACAAACATTGCAATTTAAATGGTCAGAAACAGAAGACAAATTCAAACTCGTTTTCATTGATGACAAAACAGGTAGAGACAAATGACCTAGTCTAGAATGCCATAAGGCTACATTTAGAGAAAATGCAGATAAACAAATGGGAGGAACAACGAGCTTGAGAGAAAGAAGACTGGCCGAATCAAGGACGTACAGACCACGAACAAGATTAGCAATCCCAATCGTCTTGCCTGAGAGACGATCCTGAAGGAGACAATGAGATGAAAAAAGAGAGCAACAATGTTAGTGGTGTGAGCAAGAGCACTGATGCTTAGAAGATTGAAAGAAAAAGCAGGAACATAAAGAACATCATAAAGAACCAGACATGCAAAAATAATGGAAGAGCCCTTTGAGACCACCGGAGCAACCGTGCCATTGGGAAGGGACACGACTGAATCGGAGGTGGAGGGAGTAGAGGAAGAGGACAAAGGAGCACAGGAAACATGGTGAGTTGCTCCAGTGTCCAAAACCCAGCAGGTAGAAGGCAACAAAGAAGGGAACTCACCACTGAGGCTTGCTACGGTGGGGTTGATGTCTACGGTTGGAGAAGGAGGCTGAGGATTTGGGTTAGGTGTGGTAGAGAGAAGGGAAATCAATTGTTGGTACTGATGGTGGGTGAGGGAAGGTGAGGGACAAGCATTGGAGTTTGCATCTGGTAAAGTTGAAACGATGGCGTTTGAGCGAGGGTTGGTATTGGGCTTGGATGGTTTGGGCTTGATACTCAAGTGGATAGCCATGTATTTTAAAACACTTTTTTTTGTATGGCCCAAAATATTACAATGGCTACAGAATGGACGTTGACGACGCAGAGGAGCACCATGAGCAACAGCAATAGACGGTGGTGGAACAGCGGAAGAAAAGAGTGAAGCCTCAGCGACCAGAGGAATAGAGGTCGTAATTTTATGTTGACGTTCTTCTTGTAAGACCAGAGAAAAAACCTTGGAGAGCGATGGAAGAGGGTCCATTAACAGAATCTGGGCTCGAATTGAAGAAAAAGAGTCATTCAAACCCATGAGAAAATGCATAGCGTGGTCCTGGTCACGATCATGAGATATGGATCGGAGAGCACCACAAGTGCAGGGGTAAGAAGGGGAGTAATCAAGGAGCTCGTCCCAAAGAGTTTTCAGTCGGGTATAGTAGCCATTTACGGTCAAAGCACCCTGTAGCAGAGAGGATATTTGCAACTTGAGCTAAAAATGCGAGGACTGTTAGATTGATGAAATCTATTACGAAGGTCGTTCCAGGTATCATATGCATTGTCAAAATACATTAAACTGTCAGTGATGTCCTTGGAAACAGAATTTAGAAACCAGGAAATCACCATTGAATTGTAGCGATTCCAAGCATTAAAGAGAAGTTGATCTGGGGAAGGACGAATCAGAGAACCATTAACAAAGATGGATTTGTTCTTTGTTGTTAGGGCAAGTAACATAGCACGGGACCATGAGTTGAAATTTTGGCCAGTAAGGGTATGAGTAACCAAAACTAAGCCAGGGTGGTCACTGTTGCTAAGGAAATAGGGACTACTGGAATCTTCAATCAATGGTGAAGATCTGGAAGAGGCAGCACCACCAGGGTTGGTGGTGGAAGAATTATTAGCATTGCCACAAGCCATGAGAGAAGGCAAGGGCAAGATTCAAAACTCAACTGATACCATTTTACAAATGAAAAATGAACAGAGCAGAAAGAAAGAAGACAATAGAAAACTTTTCATTATATTTGTTGATCATTTCATCGTGTACAGTGTAGCTCTTTATAGCTGAAAGCAAGAATAACAAGCTCCCTAGAAATACGGGAGTCTAACGAAAGAAAAGGGGTGCAATCAAAATGCACAGCTAAGGGATAACTGAATTACAGCAAGTAAAACAATTAAAACAGAAAAAATAAAATGCATCTGTAAAATATACTATTTGCAGATGATATTGTGTTTATTGATGAGACCAAAGCTTTAAAAACTAAGATTGTGGAGAAGCACGTTGGAGTTCAAAATAATTATGCTAAGTCATAATAAAACTGAGTATATGAGGTGTGAGTTTGCTCTAGCATGTGATTGAGATAAAGATTCCATGCAGTTGTTTGGATAGGAGGTACTCGAGAAAGATGTTTTTTTTCTATATTTGGAATCTATTTTGCAAAAGAATTAACAGATTGGTGGGAATACAAATCATAAAATCAAAGCAAGATGGATGAAATGATGTAGTGGATCAGGATTTTTGTGTGATGACAAATTTCCTATAATGCTAAAAGAAAAGTTTTATAAAACAACAGTAAGGTCAGCAATGTTATACTGAGTTGAATATTGACCAACACACATGCAACTAAAGCATAAAATGAGAGTAGTAGAAATAAGGATGTTAAGATGAATGTGTGATCATACAAGGATGTATAAGATAAGAAATAAAGATATTAGATGAAAGATAGAAGCAGCACCAATGGGTGAAAAGATGCGAAAGTAGAGATTGACACGATTTAAACACATAATACGGAGAGCTTTAGATGCTCCTATGAGAATGAAAGCTTGTTACCAAGAGCTCAACATAAAAAGAGGAAGAGATTGACTAAAACTTATTTGAAAGAAAGTGATAAAACAAGAATTAATGAAGTAAAAATTAGATTGGAAATATGTTGTGTCTTAGGACAGATTAGAAGAAAGCTATTAGCACTACAAGAGGGATGAATTCGCTTTACTTCCTATGCTCTAGACTTTCCTTGTCTAGTCATCTTTCCCTATTGATGGGACGTAAATTCGTTCCCATCTAAGCCCATTTTGATGGAAAAATACCACACGTTCCCTCATCTGATGAGCAACTTCAGCACGGAAATCACTTGTTTTACACATTTGTGACAAAAACACAGTGGGGGAACGTATGGTAACGTATTCCTTTAAATATATTAAAAGGGGAACGGACTGAGACTCATTTAATGCACCTGCTCCACTCATTTAATGCCTCTGTACACTTTGCAGGTAACGTGGATTTAAAGTCTTCTAAAAGCAAGGCGGTGCACCAACTGAGCAGTTGGAAACGTGAAGAGCAGAGAATCAAGAGTTCTCATTGGCTGAAAAAGAAAGCAAGGCATGGGGCAGACTGCAAACAACGACTAATTATCACCAAAACTTGTTCCATCCAGCAATATGCGCAGTCTGCTCACTCTGCCGCCACCATCCCGTCCTCTCATTCAAGCAACTTGATCTAAAGGATTTACAAGACTGCCACTCCTCTTCCATCTATAAATAGGACGACCCACACACAAAAACATCATGAATCCTGGAGGGTTTGAAGTCCGAAAGGAAGAGATCACCTAGTAGTAGTAGTAATTAGTAACTTAGATTTATTTTAAGTTGTAACTATAGTTAAGTGACAACCTCTCTTCTCTTCTCTGTATCAACCATTAAGACTCCTCACGAGCAATAACCTATTTTTCTCCATTTTCTGTTTCTTCTGTAAACTGTCTTTAAAATTAATATAAGTGTTTTTCTCTTCGTTCCATTCGTTATCTCTTAACTGAATCTCGGGTTTATGGGACTTCAGTTGGGAATAATTATGTTTAAAATATCAGCCATGAGCTGAACTATCTGTGGAACGGGTAATCTGTGAAACTCTTAAAGAACTGTTTTCAAAACTCTTGACTGAAGCTTTTTTGTATTTCTTTGGCTAAGTGAGCTATATTCATTGTGTACCAATAAAAATTGGGCACATACTGAGAAAGGAACTTCCATAAAGGAAGGGATTTCAGACAGCTTAGCCATTGGGGGAAGGTAGTGTTATGGCAAAAACACTACTGGTCACCTTAGGAATAAGGGGCCAACTCGTCCATTTTAAGGTTCTGTACTAAGTACCTGTTGGAGTCAAGGGAGCCGTAGGAATATGGAAACTTGTGAGCCATATAGTCCATGAGCTGAGGAATCAGAGTTGGCAGACAAGAAACTGGGACAAAGCCAATAAGTGCTAAGTCTTGAGCAGAGAAAACAGCTATTTAAGAGTGAATCAGTGAATCGGTTCCTTCTGTTTAACTGTTATAAAACATCACCCTGTTGTCTCTTGATTATAGTTATTTCTGCTTTAATAGTTTTTTTACTTTATATAATTATAACTATCAACTCCAATGATTATTATCTCACCTTCTTCTAAACAGGAAGGATTACATACATCACGCAGCGAGTAATTGTTTGCCAGCAGATTGAACCTACTGTTCCTGAGGAACGTTGTCAAGACAGTAGGGAACGTTTGACCAGACAGTTCATTTACTAACTTTTCTTCTCATTTTCACTCTTTATAAAACAGTGTAAGACAATAATTAGGATTCTATCCTCGTGGGAACGCTAATTTGGACATTAATACTCCCTTTATTACTTGATGCATGCACTTGCGCACTTGGGTTGGAACTAAGGGAACAAATCTGTGTTCTGCAAGAACAGAGGAACGTCCCCTATCAGAACTTATAATTTTCCACCATCAGCAAACCACCCAAAACCTATATTTTCCTATATTTATTTATACTCTCTAATTTATTTTTTTCTTTTATTGATCCATTTTTATTTTCTCTATTTATTTATTTCTTTTTTTTCTTTCTCTTATTTACTTTTTTTTATGTATCTTTATTTTCACTACATTTTCACTCTCTTTTTTCCTCACACATCTCTTTTTTAAAAATTATTTATTTATTCATTTTCCCCTCCTTTTTTTCATCCATCTTTTCATTTGAGTTTGCCAACCACTGATCCAAACTAATTAGGAATAAATGTGTTAGTGATATTGAGTAGGGGTGTTCGCGATCTGGATTGGATCGGTCTTGGAAGCAAAAATCATCTGATCCAATCACTTCAGTTTGTTCATGTAATCATCCATTCGATTTGGATTTTTTTTCAAATCCGATCCGATCCAATCCAATTTTTTACGGTTTGGATTGGATCGATTTTCGGTTTTTTGAAAATCCTAAAATTTGTTTCATGATTATTATGCAAATAACATCTTTTGTATATATTGATTTGTAAATTTATTTATTTTTTGAAATACAAAAGCATCAATAGACGATAATGTAGGTTTTTTTTTGGCAATGAGATATGAAGCATCAATAGACGATAATATAGTTTTTTTTTTTGAAATATTATTTATGAGATGTGACTAGGTTTTTTTTCTTGGGTTTAGTTGATAGGTTAATAGGTATTGGGTTTAGAAATTTTTAGGTTATAATTAGGAAAAGGCCCAAGTAAGTAGAAGGGAATTAATATATTGGATCGGTTTGGATTGGATCAGTTTTCATCAACCCATCCGAAAACCGATCCAATCCAATTAAAATTTGCGGTTTTTTTTCGGTTTTTCGTTTTTCGGTTTTCGGTTTTTCGGTTCGGTCACCGCGGTTTGAATCGGTTTGGATCAGTTGATGAACACCCCTAATATTGAGGTTCACGTTAATCTTTGAGGGATAAGGGAGGACAAACACTGATTTTGCAATAGGTTACATATGACCAATTCTTAATATAATCATAAATTATACAAACATTTTTTTTTACAAGAATTAAATCTATCTTAATTAGACAAATTAGGAAGATTGAACAGGAAGGAATAGCCACTACAATCTCAAATTCGCAGGAATCATGTAACACCCTTCCTTGTATGCATCCAAGAGAGTTGTTTGCTAAGCGGATTAGAGTTCTTAATGTCATTAGCCGAGTACTGAAAAATCATTTTAAGTTGCTAATTAAAAATTTGCGTCGAAATCCAGTGGTTTATAAAAATCAGAGTGTCAATTTTAAAATACATAGCTTGATGAATTTCCTGACTTTCCTGACAGACCTTGCTGTCTTGAAAACATTATAAAAACTTCGAGTACAAAAATTTACAAAAATATTCTTTGCTACAAAGAAACAAGACATCTGGAGCTTCGCGTACATATAAATTATACGCGAATCGAAGGTCTCTAGCCCCACGAAACCGAACTCGCAAGTTCCTCAAAAATTCAATATATTTTTCTAAAAACCTCCTGACTTGTAAAAATTATAATAATTCGAGTTTTCAAAGTTTCATTGTAAGGTTTACATAATCTGAAAGTACACAACTAGGGCTTTACATTCATACAAAATATACCTCAATCGGAGGTCTGTAGCCCCAGAACAACAACTCGCAAAGTGCTCATAAAAACAATGCAAAAATCCGAATTTTTATAATACAGCATAATTATTTTTGCAATCTAAATACCATCATCATATACATATCATGCTACGTTTCTTTTTCAAAACAGAATATACATATACATAATTACATAGTTCAAAAATGCTTCATCAAATCTTTAGAATTCAAATCACTAAACAAGTTTGCTAATCTTCATAACATCTTATTGCATATAATCTTTCAGCATTTAATCCAACAGAAACAAAACTAACAGCAGTAATCCTCAAACAGCAAAGCATCAACCAAATACTTCCAATGACATGCTTTACCAAATATTTCTTTATCTTCCTGCAATTTATAAAAATGCAGCCCCCGAAGGGGTGAGAAAAATCTCAGTAGTATGGCAATAAAACCAATACAGCAACAATATTAGACTAGGTACAAAATTCCAAAACAGTCGCATCAACATTTAATTTTCCTAGATAGATGCTAACATAATAATCAT